ACCTGGTCCTCCTCAACGCCCTGGGGATGAACAGCTGCTTGCTGCCCTGATCCCTTCATCCCCCAGGGAGAAAAAAAGGTCTTCTCTCTTACGCGTCTAAGCATTGGGGGGGGGGGCGGTGGGTGAAGGGGTCTTCCAGTCATTTACATCTGTCAGAGAGCACGCATAGGCTGCCTGTGTGCCCAAGGAGGGTTACCAGATAACAGCTTTAAAAACATTGTGTGGTTCATGAAATGCAGAGGGGGAGATGGGCATGCAAGGGGGCGATTCTAGCATGCAAGCTTTGCATGGACTAGCAAGTATGTGCATTACGGTTCTTACTTGCAGCTTAAGGCAGCTTTGCAGAAATCAGCCTGGCATCTGAACTGCTGCTGAGACAGTGGCAGTAAAGAAATGGTGATTTAACCGAATGTTTTTAAAAGGCATTCCAGTAAAAGTTTTGCAAAACCCTCCGTGCTTTATCTTCTTGGGTCATTTGACCATCTTGGCTCAGCGGGCTTCCATCTGGAGACAATGCTGAGGTCCCAAGGGAGAAACTTTGCTTTGGTGCCAGTCCCTGAGAATCTCACCCTGGGACACCAAAGGTCCTCCGGAGCTTTAGGGGTCCTTTGCTGTTATTGTGTGAAAGTGGACACGATTGATTATGCCTGGATTTGCAGTACTGGTTGCATTTTTGCTTCCTTGCGCTTCACAGTTTTCTAACTGAGCTTAGATAATAGTCTGGTTTTATCTGTTCTGATTTAGCTGTAGAAATGAGTGAAATAAATCATTTCCAGCAGCAACGCTGCAGAATGCTCTTTTTCCAAATTTACGACCAATGATGGATTAATGCCATTAGGTAGCATTAACAGCTGCAGAAGGGAGGAGGGAGGGTCAGAGCCGCATGGGCTGCAGCTGCAGGGGGACGATGGCCAGTGGTGGACGGGAAGGGTGGCCACAGGCAAACCAAGAAGCTCCTTCAGGGCCCCAAAGCTCAGCCAGAGGGTTAACCGGGGTGGTGCTCAATCACGCTGTGGCTGGAGGCTCCACCTTGGCTCTTTCTCTTCAAACAACCGCTTGGACACTTGACCTCAAAGGTGCTCCTGTTTTTCTCCAAGGCATCCCTTGGTATGTGGTTACTGGTGGGGCTTCCCAGCCAGGCGGTCCGAGTCTCGGTTATATTTCTGCAGCAAACCACAGCTTTTCAGGCCCTTTGGGAAAGGGGGCACATCCGACAGTCCCCCCTCCTCGACGGCCCAGCTTCTCCCTTGTCCACTGGGTGCCCAGGGGTCTCAGGAGGTGGGAACTGCTGCTGACAGGAAGGGGGTGACAGGGTCCCCGGTGGCCCCCCCATGAATACCTTTTCTTAGTGGGGCCAAGCCAGGGTATCTTTGCATCTTAGCTACTTTTTAATGCTAGCTGTGCAGTTTAGCATTATGTGTGAACTCGGCCACAGTGGCTTACTGAGTACAGCGGGAATAAAATCAGTCCAGGGAGGCGTTCTTAGATGAGGAAGACCGGCCCAGGTCAAAGGAGGCTCATTTCAGTGAGCACCAGAGCATTAATTTACCTCCACCGAATGTGATGGGGGGGCAGGGGGGGCTTCTCCTATCCAAATAAATCCCAGCAGAGCAAATGATTGGGGAGAAGAGGCGAGCGGTCAGTCTCACAAGCAAGAGGCCCTCGTAGGAGAGAAGGACAGGGCAAATCTCCCCTGGAAAAGCTGCGTGGCCTGCAGGCAGAGGGATATGTTGACATCCAGGTGAACTTTCTTTGGACTGGGAGGGGAGGGGGCTTTGATGCAGACATCCAGGGGGCTTTCAGCGTTGCCTTTTCACATTATTCCAGTAAGCAAGAGCAAGTCAGGGAGCCCATTGTGCCTCCTTATATAACCCAGATGCGCTGGACCAGAGGCCTCTAAGTATGTGAGCTCACCTGGCTGGCATTTATAAGGGTCTCCTGGTGTGTCTATTTAAATCCCGGATCTCAAGTGAACTCTCTTGGCGAGAGCTTCCAGGGGATGTGGCACATAGACCCGGCCGCTGTTGTCAGGGGGAACAGAGCCTGAAGTAGCCACCTGAGAAAGGCTGAGTCCCTGCTCTTGGCTAAAGTTTTCCCCAGCCACACGAGAGATGCTCTTTGCATGCCGCCAGATCCTCGGAGCCCGGCCTCGTTGGGGCTGGATGCTGGCATGGTTCCCTTCAGTGGGGGGGGGGGAGGAAACAAAGGACTCTAGGAAGAGCCCCCCCCCGTGGCCTTTTAGTCATGGGAGGAAGTAGCCGATTGACTTTTCTTGTGATTCAACCATTCAAAGGCATCTTTTCCCGTATCCGTCTTGTTCTGCAGTAATTGACATTTCTCTTGTATTTTAACCAAACTGACAGGCGCTTGCTAAAAGGTTCCTCCTATAGGACAAGTTGTGCAAGACTCTTTCAATGGCCTATTAGCCTGGCAGAGGCTGTTAAGCGGGGCGGGGGGGGGGGAGAGACTTCAAGGACCAGCAGATACAGAAAGTCCAAGCTGCACTCCGGCAGCTGTTTTGCCTGCCATGGGGAAAGCTCCCCACAGGTTTTGGGCAAGGTTCAGAACCCAAAGTTTTGGGATGGGGGGAGAGACTAAGGTTTGGGAGAAGATTCAGAGCTGGAAAACCTGGTCTGCAGGCAGGTTGCATGTCAACCTTATAAACTTTGACTGCATCCATATTTTTGCATCTGGAATTCTATTTATGTTCAGAGGGAACTGATCCTTTTCAGATCAAAAAGAGCTAAGTGGCGAAAGGGGGCACAAAGCAAGCCAGAGGGAGGAGAGAGAGAGGCATGAAGAATAAGCGGAGATAAAAGGGCAAAGGGCTGACCTGGTCTGTTTCTCCGTCTCTAGCAAGAGGCACACAGCCACCGGAAGCCACACTGCAGGTCATCGGTCTGGACTGTCCCCTAAAGAGAGTGAATTGGAGAATTCCAGCTTTTGTGTGCATGACAGCTACAGAATAGAGATGGAAAGGAGAACACCAGGTGATCCATCCTTTATTGTGCTCCAAGAAAGGAACGGTTTGGCAGGCAGATAATTAGTTGGAAAAGCAGCTATCAGATGCCCTCTGATTATTGGTGACAGGCTGTCCAAATCTGAAAAATTCAGTTCACCGATTGAGACTGAACCGAATGAAAATTTAAATGGAACTTTAGGTAGGGAAATGGAGCAGTTCTCAATAAAATACTTTTAAAGTCACGAGGAAAATTTGGCAGAGCAACTCAAAATTGGAACCATTCATTATGCTTTATCCTCCCCCAGTGGGCAAAACGGGGTACTACAGGAACCCTCTCCTGCCTCTGGTCTACTTTGAGATGTACTCTGTGTTGTTCATGACCAAAGACTTGTGGCTGTCGGAGCAGCTGCTTCGTGGCTTTGCTTTGTCCCTGGAGATCAGCTAAATGGCTTTCAGAAAAAAAATCCTTCCTATTCTGAAACAGTGATCTGGAATCAGACTCCATCAATTGCATAAGCTCTGGGGTGTGTGTGTGTGTATGTTTGCACGTGCACACGTTTTATTGTTCTCTTTTGCCAGGCGGCCTTCCAGCCTCACTGATGGAGCAGGGAGTCACCCTACACCTTCTCTGAAGCTGACTTCCTGGGGAAACTTCAAAGAAGTGCCCAGAAGAGGTTGGAGGAGAAGAGCAGGATAATTATTGGATTTTGTGACAAACCGACATCAGTGCCTCCTCTGCGCATCGGCTGTGCTAAGGACTCCAAAGCTTGAAAGGGGTTCAGACAGAACAGGCCGTTGACCGGTGGCAGAATAAGCTGCTTTCAACCTGGATGCTTCGGCGTGGTCCTCTGGGGCCCCTTTCCTGTGGCCGCTCCGTCCTCCGGAGACCCATTTGGCAGTGGAAGAGGTCCAGCCCCCCCACCTCCAACCCCTTTCCCCTGCAGGCCAGCACGTGCTGATGGCGCAGAGGGCAGCAGCCCAGGCCCTGAAGGGCCACCCTGCACTGCCCTGTGGACAGGAAGACTTTGCGGGGGGGGGGGGCGTCTCCATCAGACAGGAGAGACTCAGGCAGACTGGCTGGCTCTGCAGGGAGGGTCTCTGAGAAGCCCGGGTAGCTCAGCCACAACCTACTGAGGACTAGCCAGCAGGAGCTTTTGCAGGGCTGGAAGATTGGTCAAGGACCTCCCACCATTCCCCCCAGCCTTATGTGCTAGCAGGGAAATGCAGAATCCACGCCCACGCCCGGCTGAGAGGGAAAGCGAGGCCTGAGAAAGGGTCAGCCAAGCTCTGTCCTTGGGCGGGGGGGGGGGGGCGTGTGTGGGTCACCCTCCTGCTCAATGGAGATCAGAAAACTGTGGAAGCCAAAGGCGACTCTCTAGGATGGGGAAAAGCAGAAGACTATGCAGAACAATGTAATTGAGAAATATAATCTTTATTAGACTTTTTCATAGTTGTCTAAAATGTACTTCTTCCTTTTTTTTTTTTCTTTTTGGCATTACAGTGCATTCCAACTGCTTTGGAACAGATTGATTCAGCTTTTGAGGGTAGCAAAGAAGCGACCCGTCCTCTGTCTTTCTCATGAGAAACAGCAACTGCAGGTGAGGTGGAAACGGATCAGCCAAAACCCTCCAGGAAAGAAGCAGCCACTCCGGCCAGGCTCAGAACGAACCCAGGGCGGCAGTTGGCCTTGCAAAGCCCAGGAGCAGCGGCAAGGGAGGGGCCCCCCTGGAGCCTGGACCCAGCCAGAAGGCCTGCAGCTGTGCTCAGGCTGCCTCCCCCACCTCGGGAGCTGAAACCCCCCCAGGAAGTGTGCAGGAATGATCGGGTGGGGACCCCTTTCCTACCTCGGCCAGCTGAAGGCTGTCAGCTAGTTGGGGGCCAGGCCACGGGGGGGGGGCGGGGGGATGCAGGGAGCATCCTGCAGGGCGGGCGGCTTTACAACACCCTGGCAGGGCAAGGAAGGCTCCAGATTTCTTCCTTAAGCTTGGGGAGGAAATTTCCCAGGGAGGGGATGAAAGCAGGCAGAGAGGTCCCCTAAATAAGATGGGGGCTTTGGGGGGGGGGAGACTTGCTTTCAGGGCCACCAGATCTGGGGCTGCCCCCTGCTGGCCAACCAGTGGAGGAAGGCAACTGGAAATAGAAATTCCAACACAATGTCCCCATCTAAAGGTTCTCTAGATCTGTGCAGGTTAGAGGTGTAAGCACGGCTACAACTGGGATATTTGGGGTCTATTTGAAACAGCCTCCAGGGATAGAAATATCAATTGAAACAGAAGCTGGACATGTGCCAAAAAAATCCCTTGACGTTATAAAATGAACCAACATTTTAACAGATTGATCAATCCCTACAGTTACAAATGCTCTTGCTTGTTTTTCCACCTGTTAAAGATATTGCAAACCCTGTTTTATTGCCACAATCATACCAACGTTTTTCCTAAATAAATTTCAATCTTGTAAGGAAAACAATCCACAAGGCTTAATATGCTTACTGTAGAACCACCTCACGTAAAGACATTTTACATCTTTTATCAGAATCATTTAAAAATGAGTGACATGTGTTCGGGGAGTATGTTTCTCGCACTCAAGAGAAGGTAAAATATCTGTAAATGTGGCATGAGGACTAGCATTACTCAAGCACAGCCACCCAGAGCAACGGAGACCCAGTGGCCGAAGGGAAGGGATCTCCAGAGGCTTTGCCAGTGAAATTCCCCATTTCCCCCCCTCTTTCTTTGGCAAATTCAGCAGCTCCTGGAGAGACCAGGGATGGGTGGGTGGGCGGCTTCTGCTCCTTGGTCTTGTCTCCCGACCTGGACCAGAGAGAACTTTGCTGCTGGTTTCCTTGCTCCGGTGGCCAAGAGACCCGGGATGGGCGGCTGCTGGCTCAGCATCTGGGGCCAACGTCCTGCGTCCACCACTGCCCTTGGACAAGCTTAGCCTGCGATGCATCAGGCACAGCCAGGCCCCTCCTGCCTCCCCTCCAGGCAGGCAGAGCCATGCAAATGGAACAGCCAGATGCTTCTGCTTGCCCTTCGTGTCGGCAGCCGGCCCTCTGAGCAATGGCATTAACACACACACACACACACACACACACACACACACACACACACGCACGCACACACACGCACCAATCACCCAGCAATCACATGTTGTTAAATGGCTGAAGTCTAGGGAGAGTTTGGCTGTCATTCATCAGAGCCTCCCCATGCAAGAGCAGCCACCTCCCTTGGGTGAGAATGTGGAAGCCCCACAAGGGGACAGCAGGATCTTCCAAAACTTTGGTCCCTGGGGGAAGATTTTAGGAACCCTCCATGCATACCGTATGACGACCTTGTGCAAAGCCTCTGTGCTGTAAGGAGCGACAGGGAAGCATCTCAACAACATGCAGCCCGCAAAGGCGTTGACGACCTGGGTCTCCCCCACACTAATCACGGAGAAGCGATGGAGCTGGGAAGGGGGGAAGGAGCACCATTTCTGGACCCACCTCACCCCTGCCCAGCTGCCCTTCCCCCAAAACAAAAAGTGGGGTTCCAGGGTGCCAGGCGGAATGGATTCCTCCAGATTGACGCAGGAAAAGGGTTTATGTTGAAATTGCTTGCCAAAGCGTCCCTTTGTGATATTCTGGTAACAACCGGAACAAGTTTAGAAACAAATTGAAACACTCAATTTGTTTCAGCTTCAGCTGAAATAAGCTGTTGAAAATAAATAAAACAGCACCTCTCATTCAAAGTCACATGGAAATGAGGCAATTTACACATGTAATCTTGATTATCTCTTAAATATATCAAGTCCTTGCCCAGATGAATAGGGAGATGAGGATGATGATGGTTTGCTACGTGCAGCTTCTGGGAAGCCAGTTCCCCTAATTACTCCCCCCTCGATGGGCAGCGACGGCTGCACCCTGGAATTGCCATGGGCCCTTCAGGCCAACCTCAGCACAGCCCCAGAGGGTCCCAGCCAGGAGCTTCTGATTCTGATCAAAAGCCAACTAAGTCAGAACATACTGATCTCTCTACCATACACACACAAATCCACACACGCACGTGTGCGTACCCCAGGCATATGTGGATGCCTCAGTAAAGCGGTTTGCTCTTTTTGCCAATTTTTGATTTTGCGTTCACCTTTCGGGCAATGTGGTTGGCTGCCTCTGCCTTCTTCTGGGGCCTCCCAAGGTCCCGGCAGCTGTCCGCGGGTTCATACAACCACTTGACGGTGTGAGCGCCGCCTCCGAGTCTGTCATCCTTGGCTTTCTTCAGGAAGAGCCGCCCTTTCTGAAGCGAGTGAGGTTTGGGGTCAGGGGGGCTACAAAAACTGTGTGGGTACCCCCAGCTGTAAATGGGAAGGAGAAACAGGGGGAGAGAGAGGGAGGGAGGGAGGGAGGGGGAGAGAGGGAGAAAAGAGAGGGAGAGAGGGAAAAGAGAAAGAGAGACAGATTGAAAGAAAGAGAGAGAGAGAGAGAGAGAGAGAGAGAGAGAGAGAGAGAGAGAGAGAGAGAGAGAGAGATAGTATTGAGGTCTGGCAAAGGGAACCCAGAAACAGAAAACTTGGTTTTAGCTGTCTGAGCTCAGATCCTCCCCCCACATGAAGGGGAGGGATGGTCATACATACAGGCATCTGGCTTTCTTGAGAGATGACAGATCTGTAAACTAAAAAAGGAAGAAAATATTAGACTGACCTGAACCAATAGTAAATCAATCATCATTTATCAATTATTGTGAGCACGTCTTCTTACATATAGATGCAAATTCTGCTGGGATCAATGAGGTTTATTTCCAGATGACATAAGTGGGATTTTCCTCCAATGGGATTTTCCCATGTATTTTACCAGGAAACATAGATAGGGCAGTCTAGAAAAGTCAGTGCCCTCCTAACCATACCCAAGCACTACGAGTTTGTTGGCGTTGTCCATTTTGCTCTAGGAGTTCATGGTGACCTAACCCTAACTCTAAGTGGAATTTTCCTCCAATGGGATTTTCCCATGTATTTTACCAGGAAACATAGATAGGGCACCCTAGAAAAGTCAGTGCCCTCCTAACCATACCCAAACACTCCGAGTTTGTTGGCAATGTCCATTTTGCTCTAGGAGTTCATGGTGACCTAACCCTAACCCTAAGTGGAATTTTCCTCCAATGGGATTTTCCCATGTATTTTACCAGGAAACATAGATAGGGCAGCTTAGAAAAGTCAGTGCCTTCCTAACCATACCCAAGCACTCTGAGTTTGTTGGCGATGTCCATTTTGCTCTAGTTCATGGTGATCCAACCCTAACCCTAAGTGGAATTTTCCTCCAATGGGATTTTCCCATGTATTTTACCAGGAAACATAGAGCAGCCTAGAAAAGTCAGTGCCCTCCTAACCATACTCCGAGTTCGTTGGCGATGTCCATTTTGCTCTAGGAGTTCATGGTGACGTAACCCTAACCCTAAGTGGAATTTTCCTCCCATGGGATTTTTCCATATATTTTACCAGGAAACATAGATAGGGCAGCCTAGAAAAGTCAGTGCGCCCCTAACCATACCCAAGCACTCCGAGTTTGTTGGCAATGTCCATTTTGCTCTAGTTCATGGTGACGTAACCCTAACCCTAAGTGGAATATTCCTCCAATGGGATTTTTCCATATATTTTACCAGGAAACATAGATAGGGCAGCCTAGAAAAGTCAGTGCCCCCCTAACCATACCTAAGCACTCCGAGTTTGTTGGCAATGTCCATTTTGCTCTAGGAGTTCATGGTGACCTAACCCTAACCCTAAGTGGAATTTTCCTCCAATGGGATTTTCCCATGTATTTTACCAGGAAACATAGACAGGGCACCCTAGAAAAGTCAGTGCCCTCCTAACCATACCCAAGCACTCCGAGTTCGTTGGCTATGTCCATTTTGCTCTAGCAGTGCATGGTGACGTAACCCTAACCCTAAGTGGAATTTTCCTCCAATGGGATTTTCCCACGTTTTTTACCAGGAAACATAGATAGGGCAGCCTAGAAAAGTCAGTGTCCTCCTAACCATACCCAAGCACTCCGAGTTTGTTGGCAATGTCCATTTTGCTCTAGGAGTTCATGGTGACCTAACCCTAAGCCTAAGTGGAATTTTCCTCCAATGGGATTTTCCCATGTATTTTACCAGGAAACTAGATTAGAAAAGTCAGTGCCCTCCCCATACCCAAGCACTCCGAGTTTGTGGCAAATTTTGCTCTAGGAGTTCATTTGACCTAACCCTCTGGAATTTTCCTCCCATGTATTTTACCAGGAAACATAGACAGGGAACCCTAGAAAAGTCAGTGACGAGTTTGTTATGTCCATTTTGCTCTAAGTTCACCCTAAGTGGAATTTTCCTCCAATGGGATTTTCCCATTATTTTACCAGGAAACATAGATAGGGGGTCCAGTGGCTCTAGGAGTTCATGACGACCTAACCCTAAGTGGAATTTTCCTCCAATGGGATTTTCCCATGTATTTTACCAGGAAACATAGATAGGGCACCCTAGAAAAGTCAGTGCCCTCCTAACCATACCCAAGCACTCCGAGTTTGTTGGCAATGTCCATTTTGCTCTAGGAGTTCATGGTGACCTAACCCTAACCCTAAGTGGAATTTTCCTCCAATGGGATTTTCCCATGTATTTTACCAGGAAACATAGATAGGGCACCCTAGAAAAGTCAGTGCCCTCCTAACCATACCCACGCACTCCGAGTTCGTTGGCTATGTCCATTTTGCTCTAGCAGTGCATGGTGACGTAACCCTAACCCTAAGTGGAATTTTCCTCCAATGGGATTTTCCCACGTTTTTTACCAGGAAACATAGATAGGGCAGCCTAGAAAAGTCAGTGTCCTCCTAACCATACCCAAGCACTCCGAGTTTGTTGGCAATGTCCATTTTGCTCTAGGAGTTCATGGTGACCTAACCCTAATCCTAAGTGGAATTTTCCTCCAATGGGATTTTCCCATGTATTTTACCAGGAAACATAGATAGGGCACCCTAGAAAAGTCAGTGCCCTCCTAACCATACCCAAGCACTCCGAGTTTGTTGGCGATGTCCACTTTGCTCTAGGAGTTCATGGTAACCTAACCCTAACCCTAAGTGGAATTTTCCTCCAATGGGATTTTCCCATGTATTTTACCAAGAAACATAGACAGGGAACCCTAGAAAAGTCAGTGCCCTCCTAACCATACCCAAGCACTCCGAGTTTGTTGGCGATGTCCATTTTGCTCTAGGAGTTCATGGTAACCCTAAGTGGAATTTTCCTCCAATGGGATTTTCCCATGTATTTTACCAGGAAACATAGATAGGGCACCCTAGAAAAGTCAGTGCCCTCCTAACCATACCCAAGCACTCCGAGTTCGTTGGCTATGTCCATTTTGCTCTAGCAGTGCATGGTGACGTAACCCTAAGTGGAATTTTCCTCCAATGGGATTTTCCCACGTTTTTTACCAGGAAACATAGATAGGGCAGCCTAGAAAAGTCAATGCCCCCCTAACCATACCCAAGCACTCCGAGTTCGTTGGCTATGTCCATTTTGCTCTAGCAGTGCATGGTGACGTAACCCTAACTCTAAGTGGAATATTCCTCCAATGGGATTTTCCCATGTATTTTACCAGGAAACATAGATAGGGCACCCTAGAAAAGTCAGTGCCCTCCTAACCATACCCAAGCACTCTGAGTTTGTTGGCAATGTCCATTTTGCTCTAGGAGTTCATGGTGACCTAACCCTAACCCTAAGTGGAATTTTCCTCCAATGGGATTTCCCCACGTTTTTTTATCAGGAAACATAGATAGGGCACTCTAGAAAAGTCAGTGCCCTCCTAACCATACCCAAGCACTCCAAGTTCGTTGGCGATGTCCATTTTCCTCTAGGAGTTCATGGTGACCTAACACCTAACCCTATAGTAAATATTAATCGGCTGAGAATACTTCGGTTGAAATTTGCCTAAATGGGCCACCAGAGCAAATAGCATTCATTCTGGTCTCCACCATCCGTTTCGGGAGAGTTCCCCGGCCCGGCCTGCTTGCAGGCTGGTGGTGTGCTTCAGGGCTTTTGTGTGTCCTGGAGCTCCGGCCTCATAAATTATGCTTCTTTTCCCCTCGGGTGAGAGATTTCCTTCTTATTTCATGTAGCGGTTCTGGGACCTTCACCACCCTCCCAGTTTTCACGAGTGATTTCCATACCGCCTGAACAAATTGGATGTCGGAATTGCCCCCTCCCTGCCAGCCTGCCATGGGGGGGGGGTGGAGGCTGGAGGGAAGGGGAGGATCTGAGGGGAAACGAAACTGAACTGTGAGAACCCATGAAGTCTTCAAGGTCGTTTCCCTGGCAGAAGAGCGCCAACAGGCAGAGTGACTGGCTTCCAAAATGTCTCTTTTAGACTTGATTGGACAAGGACAGACACCACATGGGAAGAGTCCAAGGGAGGGAAGTTAACTGGCAAAAGTCCGGCCTGAACTCTCAGGCTTTACACAACTGCAATTCACTTGACTTCTAGTCAACTATACCTTTCTCAGTAAACGGAGTTAAGGATCATTTTTTTTTTTTTTTTATCTTAAAAGCCCAAGTTGAGGCAGGCCTGACATTAGCAAAGCCCGGCCCCCTTGCAGCAGAGAGCAGAACCTACAAGCAACTCCCTCCACCCTGCTCTTTCTTTTTTGCTTGAAAAGGCTTCTGCCGCTTTAAAGGAGGTTTTCCCCTGAAATCTTGAAGGAAACTATGGTAAGGATTATCACTTCCTGCAGGGTCGCAGGCACACAAACACACACACACACACACACACACACACACACACGCTTGCTGCCTCTAACCACACAGAATTTGCCTGTATTCAAAATGCCGCCAATGGAAAACCTTTCCCCCCAGAAATATAGGTGGGCATTTCCATTTCTTCAAAAGTGGACCCAGCGACATCCCGGGGGCCAGACTCCTCTCTGGCCACCAACTGGGATGAGTTAGATGCAACCGCCAGAGGCAGCCCCCCCCTCCCAGAAGCCTCCCCAAGAGGCCCTGAGGCTCCTGGGGGTTGGCCTCCCTGCCAGGGAGGGGGTGAAGCCCTGGAGGGATCTCGGAAGGGCTGGATTTGGGGACAAGCAGGATCCTCGCCTAGCGAGCTGCCGCTCACCAGATGTTCGCCGAGGTCTCCGGAGCTGCCCAGCAGATGCTGATGCTGGAACCTCTCCAGCTGCTTCTCTGCCTGGTCGACCCTCTGCAGCAGGTTCTCGATGAAGCGCTCCAGCCGGGCTTTCCCGCGGACCTCCTTCTCGGCCGCTTCCTCCAGGAAGTGATTAAAGGTGATGACCTCCCTGCAGGGGCAACATGGCAGCTGCTGCACGGGGACTGGTGGGCACAGGGCGGTGGCGCCTGCCGAGTGGCAGATGCAGCCATGCCCAGCTTCAGTCCTGGCCCTCCTGGCGCACCCACAACCCACCCCAGATGCCAAGCTCTCCCAGGACCGAGATTGGCAGAGGGAGAAGCTGGGGCATTCACGGTATCTGGCAACAAACAAACAAGCTTTGCTTCACTCCTCATTGAGAGCCTTCTCCCCAGAGAGAGGAAAGGGGGAAAGCTCAGAATCTGCACCCAGCTCCTGGGCCTCCCTCCCTGGGGGGGCTGCAGCAGACCTTTGAGTGGAGCCACGAGGTGAAGGGTGCTTGGGGGCCTGTGGGGGTTTCCTCCCAGGCTGCCAGGGGGGGGGGCTGCGCTGGCAGAGCCGAGAGGGCAAGAGATGATGGGCCCAGCACCACCCAGAAAGTCCTCCAACCAGGCACAAGAAGCTGAACTGCAAGGTCCATCCACACAGCAAGGCTCTCATAGCTGGCTGGAGACCCCCACACACCCCAGGGCAATTTTTAACTCCACATAAACCTGGGCTGAGGAAAGCCTGATGCCTCTCCCACCCCGGAGGGAGAGGCTGTTTGGGCGAAGACTTCTCCGCTCTGGAATATTCTCCCGCTGGAGGGAGGCCCTCCCTGCAAGAGCCTAAGAACTTGGGCAGACTTTTGCCTCCAGTTCCTCCTCCACTTTTGATTGGGGGCCCTTGCAAAGCACCAGTGTGTTTGATTGGCTCCAGACACCGCAGCTCAATGACTGAGCCCCTCCCCAAAGACCCCTCAGTCCAGGCGTGGGAGATGTGGCTGAGCCCTCCTCATGGCTGAGCCAGATAGAGTCCTTCAAAAGCTGCCCCTGGCTGCCTCCCTCCTCATAAGCCCTTGTGAGAAGAGAGGGGATCCCCAGGGGATCTGTTGCGAAGGGCAGGCCCCAAAGGGCAGACTTGGAGGAAAGCAGGTAACTAAGCAAGGGAAAACACACATCTGTGCAAATGAGCGCTTGAGAAAGGTTTCTCCCCCACCACGGCCGGCTGAGGCTTCTGAGAACAGGCGACAGGCCCCACCTGCCCCGCCAGCCAGGACCTTCGGCCGGGACCTCTTAGGCCCTTCAGTCAGTGGGAGGGGCCACACCCTCCCCACCACCTGATCCCCTCCCCCATCTCCTCTGTGGCAGCAGGGTCAAGGCGTGGGATGGGAGGCCACTGCCTTCTGACCCCCCCCCCCGCTTTCCCCTCCTCCTCTTCTGACTTACTCCTCCTTGCGGTGCAGCTGCTCCTCCGACTCGGTGAGCCGCTGCTGCAGCACCGCAATCATTTCCACCGCCACGTCCACCTGCCGGTTCAGGGCCCTCTCACGCCGCTGCACCTCCTGCTTCTTCTGGGAGAGCTGCACAAAGGCCGCCCGGACCTCCAGGAGCTGGGCCGTCTTTCGGGAGAGTTCCCGGGAGAGGTTCTCCATCCGCCTCTCGATGGTCTGGTCGACGGCTTCCACCATGTGGTTGAATTTTTCCCGCACGTGGGCCTCGAAGGAAGCGCCGGGCTCCACGGCCTTCCAGGCGGGGTCCCAGGCCGGCTCGGCTGAGGCATGGCCGGAGCCCAGGTCGGCCGGCCATTCCGCCTCCCCGGCCAGAGGCCTCCTGGGCAGCGGGTCCTCCGGCTCGCAGAAGTTCAGGTAGGAGAGCCGTGGATTCAGCACACCGCTGCCCCCATCCCGGAAGGTGCCCTGGGTCCGGGGGCGGGAGGAGGAGGAGCCCCGGCCCCCCTTGAGGGGAGAGAAGAGGCCTCCTGAGGGCTGGAGGCTTCGGTCTTCGAAAGCGTGGCTGTACTCCAGATGGGCCCTCAGGGACGACAAGCTCCTGAACCGGGCGTGATCCCCACACCGGGGGCAGCGGAAGGGCCTCCGGGCCCCTGCATCTTCCAGCGACTCCTCCCACGTGGATTTGCTGTCCTGAAAGGCCTTCTGTTGCATTCCTTTCCCCGTCCTGTAGCCGTCAGGGAAGAGGGACGGGGAGGTTAGCGAGGGTCTTCTCGGCCAGGCATCAGGTCACTTTCTGGACTAGAGATCCCATCACCCAGCAGGGCCCAGTTTTGCACCTCCGGAGAGCCTCTTAGCCCCCAAAGGCCGTGAATTTTGCCAGCAAACTCGGAGGGAGGCTAATTCACACCCCTGGGGGGGGGGGTCCAGGCAAAGAGCAGGTAAGTCGGCCTCTCCATCCCCCGTGATCGCCTGACGGGTCAGCTTGCCAGAGAACCGGGAGCAAGGAGGGCGTTGAGGGAGGGGCGGGGATGCTCTGCTCCGGGAGGGGGTCGCTCCGCATTCAGCCCCCGGGGCTGCTCCTGGGGGGCGGGGCGGGTGCAGAACGAGGGTCCCAGCAGTGGCGTCTCCCTGGGCCTGGGGGGGGGCAGCAGGGCGGGGTTACCGGAAATATTCCCCGGCCTGGTCCCCTGCCCGGCTCGGCCAGAGCGGCCCCGTCGGCCCCCGCGAGGGCTGCCGATCCGGAGCAAGGCCGGCCTTTCGCGGGGGGCTCTCCCCGAAGCCCCCTCGCTTCCCGGCAGGCACCAGGGGAAATCGAGGGCTCCGCCGCCGCCCTCGAGGCGTTCCCCCCCCCCGGACCGCAGGGAGGCTCCCGGGCCCTCGGCTGACGTCAGGCTCGGGACCGCCACGAGCCAGCAGGATCCCGGGCCGGGAAGCGGCTCCTCCGCCCCGCGAGCCTCCCGCGCGTCTTCCCCGGGTCGCCCCCCGCCCGACGCCGGCCTCTCCGCGGGAAGGCTGTCCGCGGCGGTCCGTGCTGGCGCCGCCTTCGCCCCCCCACCCGCACTCACCTCCGGAGCGGCCGCTGCTGCTGCAGTCCCGCCGCGGCTGCCCCCGCCTCGCTCCCTCCGGGCGGCCCCGCGCTCTCGCTGCGCCTCCTGCGCCGCGCATCCGAGGCGGCTGCGGGAAAAGCCGTTTGCAGCAGAGCCGTAAATCACGGCGGACCGACACACCGCCAAGCCCCCTCCCCCCTCCCCCCGCCCTGCTGCGGCGGTAGAGCGAGCGGGGCGGGATTGCCCGGGCTCCCGCGGGGCCGGAGAAGGGCTGGCTGGGCGCTTCCGTGAACGGATCCGTCCGAAGAAGCGGCAGGCACGCTCAGCCCGGCTCCTCGGGGGTGGCTGCAGGCGCCGCCCCCGCTGGAGGGGAAGCTGCCCGGGCAGAGCCGGGTTAGAGAGGCGGCGGCAGCCAGGGCAGCGGCCGCGGTGGAGGACCCTAAGCTGGCCGGGGCGGCCGAGGGGCCGGTGGTCGGGCCGCGAGCAGAACAAGCCGCTACGGGCTCCGGTTGCGACTGGGCGACAGCAAAGGATCTCCCGGGCTCTTTACTCGCCCAGAGCAGTTCCGCGCGAGGGCCTCCCCTGCACGCCGCCGACGATCTCGGGCCGGGAGTCCCGCCTCGGGCACCCGGGAAGCGGCGGAGCCCCCGGGGGGCAGGAGATGGCGTGAGCTGCGAGTCGGAAGAGCGGCCCCTCCCCTTCCCCGAGCCCTCGCCACTTTCAGCCGCCGCGAAGCGACGCGGGTCTCCTCTGCCACCCTGGGACGCTCCAACCACCAGCCGCGCTCGTTGAAGCCCAGCGGCGCAAAGCCCAGGGTCGCCTGCGGGCGTCCTCCGGGGCTCCTTCATTCCGCCGCCCGTTCCCGGGGCCGTTTCGTCTGCGAAAGCAATTAGGGCTTTGCCCGGCCCAGCCTCCCCCCCCCCCGGGCCTTCCTCCCCTAAGAAGCGCCAGGGAGCCAGACCCGCGACGGGCACAAGGGGGGCGGAGGGAGGGGAAGGAGGCCACCGGGCGATCGCCGAGAGCCGAGGCAGAAGCGCAGCCCGCAGCCCGGCCTCTGGGCTGGACGGGGCGGAGCGAGCGGCCGAGGCGGGAAGAGCCAGGGGCGGCCATGGCGGCGCGGGCGGAGCGGGGGCGCCGCGGGGCGGCGGTGAGCGGCGGGGCGCGGGAGGCCGGGCCGGGGGTGGGACGGAGCTGGGGCCGCGAGGGGCCTTTTCGGGGCTCCTGGGGAGGCGGCGGCGGGTGCCCAGGGGTCGGGGCCCCGAGGCGGCTGCACGACGGAGCCCGCCCCCGGGGGACGCGAGACGCGGGTCTGGCGGTCGTCGGGATCCCCTCCGCTCACGCTGCCTTCGCTTCGGCCCCAGGAGCAGCTGGAGATGGAGACGCGGATGCGGGACGGGCTCCGCAAACTGCTGGCCGCGAGCAGCCGCCGGGACCAGGCCATGCGCGCCGCCAAGGCGCTGGCCCTCTGCGACGCCCGTCTGCGGGCGCTCCGCGCGGACCTCCGGCGGCGGAACGAGGCGGCGGCGGGACGGTGAGAGACCAGGGATGGTGGCGGGCATCTGCCGGTCCGGCCCCGCTTCGTGCCTTGAGGGCGACCGTCTTTGTCCAGCGCTTCCCTTGAAGCAGCTTCCCCCCCCCCGCTTCTGATGCTGGTGGAGCGGAAAATGGGGGGACCCCCCAGCCCCCGCCTTGATGCTTCGGGACTCCCAGCCAACTCCAGTCCCCCCCCCCCCCAGTCTGGATTGCGCCAGACCTGCTTGGTCAGTCGGTCTGCCAGGCCCCGCCTCTCCCTGCCCTCCCCCCCGCCTTTGCCCGAGGCTCCCCTCCTCCAAGCCTCGGCGCCCCTGGGCTTTTCTCCCCGCTTCCCCTCCCCGCTTCCCGGTAGCCGGGATGAAGCGAGAGAACGAAGGAGCGAGGCTCCCGGTTACAGATGTTTTCCAAAACAACGAAAGCGGAAGGGGGCTTCGCGAGGGGGGGAGAGAGCGCCGGGCGGGGGCTGAATCGGAGGGGCCGAAGATGACAGCATTCGCCGACTCTTAACCGCCGGCATCTGCCAGAGCCTCGTGGTTGGCCGCGTGGCGGGGTAAGTCCACGGCTTCTCCAGCCGGCCCTGTCGAGAGACGGCGGGGGCCAGCCAGAGCAAAGGAGCGGGGAGCGAGGTAAGGGGCAGCGGGCGAGGCTGTGGCCGGAGGGCTCAGCGCTGTGACTCGCCGTCTCTCGCTGCCCGTTTTCCCGTCATTAAGGATGGGTTGGCGCCACCTGCTGGCCGAAGCTCGCAGTCTGAGGCTCCGGTCGTGCCGTTCCCGCCGTTCTCGGTCTCCTCTTTCCTGTAAGCCTCGGGCTGAACGACGGACGGCAGCTCTTGCGGGAGACCTGAAATAGCGCCGCCAGGTCTCTGGGTGCTCGTAGGCCTTTCGACGCCTGTTCCGTTACTGGCGACTGAATTACTTCCACCACAGAACGGTCGGAAATCGGCAGGACAGAAACTTAAATCTGCCTGAATTGTGATCGTTCAATTGCAAATGGTCCTTGGAGGGGCGATCTGCTTTTTCCTTGTATAAAAATTCCACATTCATTTCATCTGTGAGGACAAATGTGTTTTAATGAATACAAAAATGTGTGGTTTTAAATCCCTAAAAAGTTTAGCTTTAAGTTAGTAGCAGTATCCATGTCTCTGATTTCAGACAAGCTTACCTTGGAAGAGAAGGAAAAATAATGATTTTTTTTCATTCTAATTAGTATTTTTTATTTCTTTCGTTAGATGTTCAGATTTTGCAGCTGAAGATCGTACAGCCTGTAGAGGGAAGGTTGGCATTTCAGGTATGTTTGTTTTCTTTTGCCTGCAACTGGAGAACACAATAAATTCTACTGATCTGGCTGGTGTCTCGCTCTGATGCCTCTTCCCACTTAAGTGCCCTCTCCAGTCTCCTCTCCTTGGCTTTGATGGGACCTCAGAACTTGCATCGCTTGGAAGGCAAATTCCTCCATTACCTTCACATTAAAAGTTTTCCGTCTATGTAAATTCTGGGATTCTCCCGTAAAAAGTATACCTTTTCAGTGCCATAATTTTGGAATGTGAATTTGATTAGAAAGTAAATAAAAATCAAGGTAGAGAGGGAATCACTTTGACATAATATAAGTAAGCAAAAAACAAAAACAGAAAAGTTGCTTTCCAAATGTTACTTTTACACCAGACCTGATGGCAGGAAGGTGCAGATTGCCCTCAGCAGGGGTCTCCAGACTTGGCAACTTGTGGAAGACCCCTGGACTTCCACTCCCAGAATTCGCCAGCCAGCACTGTTAATACTGAACTAACCCTGAACGTTGAGATGTAGTGTGCCTCCCTTATTCTAGAAAAGGTAGCAAATAGAATCTATTCTGAACTTTTGGACTGGGTTGGGAGTGTGCTGTGCTTATTCTTTTTAGATTTACGAATTCCATTGATGTGGAAAGACTCCGACCATTTCAACAACAAAGACAGTACGTATTTTTATTTTTTTTAGTGGTTATGCAACCTCTTTAGCCAAGCTGAAGCTTTTCATCAGTGCTGATTCAGTACAAACATTCAAGGTCTACTACACAAGTCAAGTTATAGCTGAGCTTGTGGACTGCAGCTGTCTGAAACCGGCTTTCCCGTCTGAACATGGCCTCTTCAGGAAAGCCTGCAGTGGCAGAAGTGATGCCTTCCATGTGTTTGGCCATAGAAGGGCTGAACGGTCAGAAAATGTATCTGGCAACGGAGACCACTGGAAGTTCGTCTACTGTTAGTGCAGTAGCTGGAAGAGACGCCGCTAGGCCTCCGAGGTTAGCCTCGGTCTGCTTTTGCTGCCTTCCCTGCCCTGCAGGTGGATTTGACTTTTACTTTCTGTACGTTCAGAGCTGCCCACACAGCCAAATATTTTAATTCCTCCTTCTGCCTTCATAATTCTGCAGAGGCTGCTGGTACGGTTTCTGTGTTTTAATTAATCCTTTTGTGACAAAATTGATTTCAAGAGTTTGAACTTTGACAACGTGTGTCAGAAACCCTTATGAATTTCTGAGCTATTTAAAGTTCATTTGTAAAGTGAGACATTTGCTAAGTTGTATGCACATTAAGGACATCAAAACAGTTACTTGTTTCATTGTTTCTTGTTTGTAAACTTTGTTTTATTACTGTGTTTCAGTAATAAATGAAGCAGTCAGTAAATCCTATAAACAAATAACTACCTACTGAACTGGGTGTGACGCAACAAATTATTCTGAAGTGTTCTGCTTTTTTTTTTTTCCCTTGCAGGAACCGAGCATTACTCGGTTTTTTGCTTATTCAAAATAGGAGCTGAGGTGTATGATTCAGACTTGCTTATTGTGGATAAGGCGGCAACGGACATATGTTTAGAAAATGCAACAATATTGTGAGTATTCCTGAACCAGTAAGAGGCACCCAAAATCTTGAACAAATTCCACTGTTTTAAAATTTTAGGGAATGCAAGCTTCATGGGAGGCCATCCCCGCCTGAACCTGAAAGCAACACCAGCTGTGAATGTCACTCGGGAACAGAGGTGACTGGCCTCCTGCTGGGGGCTGAGGAATCCGCCAAAGAGCCCCTAGACAGGATCAAAAGCCAAGACTGGGCTGCAGCAATACGCACAGCGGGGGCCTTTTCCAAAGAGAGCGCCCCGCTCAGTCACTGGCAGACTTTCCAACAAATTTAGGGACCGTCGCTTTGCTTTAGTCTGCTGATTGCTGTACATGCTGTTCTGTGCTTTTAATATTTTATGTGTGGATTTTATGGAACTACTTTAAATTGTGCTGGGAGCGTTTCCACTGAACAGCAGCCAATGTAACCCCCCCCCCGGAAATAGTGGCTTTTTTTTAATGGTCTGATAATCGTCCTTCTGAAACCTGCCCCCCCCCTTCTCTTCTAGCGAGGGAGCTGGGCCAGACTTCCAGCTGAAGGTGGAGGTGTACAGCTGCTGCTGTGGGGAAGGCCCCTTGACCCTCACCCCCAGGAAGCTAGTCAAGAAGTTGAAGACCTCCCTGGGAAAAAGCACCGGGAAGAAATTCAGCTCTGCCTTGGAGCAGAGCAGCCTTGAGACTCTCCTGCTCACCGAAACAGCCACACCGTGAGTGAACTAGGATGGGGGGGGGCTGTTTCAGATGGGGGGGGTTTCTCAGGGTGGGTTTCTGTCTGTGGAGCAGTTCAGCTCTAGAAATCTACTTTCTGGCTCTCCTGCAGTGGGGGGAGCGGTTCAGATCCTCTTGCCTCTTGTGCCGGTACACGTCCCTAGGTGGGATACCCCCCCCAGCAGCAGGTGACCCAGAGGGATGGGCAGTCCAATGGGGGGAGTCGGGGGGGGGGGTCAGAGGTGGTGAGCGTCTCTGGATCAGTTAATGTAGAAAACAAACTGCTTCATTATCTGCCTCATTCATTTTTTTGGCTAATAAGAATTTATTTATGGCTTGTTCCATTTCCATAGCCACCCTTCTTACGAGATGTGTGTGTGTGTGTGGGGGGGGGGGGTTCTCCAGTGTGGGGAGGGGCCACAAAGCTTCTGCCTGGCTTGTGCTCTCTTGAGGAGCTTGCAAGAACAAGGAGAGAAAGGACGTGTTTTGGCAGAGGAGAGAGAGCTTGTGCTGGAAGCACAGCCTAGTTTCCCCCATCTTTCCGAAGGGGAGGAAGAACTCTAAGCCCGTGACTCACTGGCCTATTGCCCCTGCCCTCTTCAGGGGTGGAGGGTGGATCACCTGGCAGGAAGGGGAGGGGCTCAGAAGGCCCTCCCTAAGGACGGCCTTGCCTGGGCTTTCCTTGTGGGGCAAGCTCTGCGTCTGTGGGCCCAGGAAGCCCTCCTGCTGCTGGAGGGAAAGCAGCTGGGCCAGGCGTTGCGAGGTGGGCCCTCAGTGGCCCCCGTGGCTGGCAGGGGGGTTGGAGGCCCAGGGCAGCCATTGGCCTCCCCTTAGAGGGTGCTCCACGGGGGATGGGGTGGAGAATGCGCAGGGGAGATTGAGGGAACCGGTGGGGGAGGGGTCTTCCCAGGGCAACCCAAAGGGTATCTATCAGGAAGGGTCTTAATGCACAAATGAGGCAAAGCCTTTCAGACATTGCTTTGGAGAGCCTCTTCCCATTTCGGTTGAGTAAGGCTGCCCTCTTTGTGCAAAGACGCTTCCACTTATGGCAGAAATCGGATTCAACCGTTTGAGCAAACGCTGCTAGCAATGCTAATTAGCCTGCTAAGTTTGAAACCAACAGAACTGAAGTACGAGGAAACTGGAAGCAATTGGGAGCAGTTTTAGGAAATGGCGCGGGGGAATTTAGCCAAGAAAGAGGGTTTTAGAAGGAAAATGTTACCGTGAAGCATATTTCGATAATGAAGCAGTTTGTTTTCTTTGCCAGTGCTTGCCCTATCAATAGTATTTAGCATTCAGCACAAAAAGGTTATCAAAAAAACCTTCAGTTACGGATGGCTTGGATGGGCTGCCTAGCGACAGGATGTGGGGCAGGAGAACTGGCCCTGGTTGGGTCACTTCCCTCCCTCCACGGGGCTGGCGGGAAGGGTCCCACCACGACCCTCCCTCCCTCCCTCCGGCTGCAGAGCCAGGAAAGAAATTCCATCCTTGCACTGTGGCCCCTTCTGAAGAAATGAGGGACTCTGGCTGCTGGGGGGAGGGAGTATGGGGGGGGGGCTTTAGGACAGGGGTCCCCCAGACATCGCTCTCTTTGATACAGGGGTTTAGGCTGTGTGTGTGTGTGTGTGTGTGTGTGTGTGTGTGTGTGTGTGTGTGAGACTGTTCAGCAGGTCAGCGGTTCAAATCTCACCGGCTCAAAGTTGACTCAGCCTTCCATCCTTCCGGGGTAGGTAAAATGAGGACCCAGATTGTTGGGGGCAATGTAAATACACACACACACACACACACACACACACACACACACAGCTTACTGGTGTACACCGCTTAGAGATTTATTTATTTATTTATTTGAGACTTATATACCGCACTTAAAGCGGTATATAAGTCTCATAAATAAATAAATAAAACTGTACAGCAGCTGTGAAGACCTGAATGAAAGCAAATAAGTCTTGATGTTAATTAGGCTCCCAAAATAAATAACCAACAAAAGAATAATTAGGCTCATTGCTGTAAAAATAATGATTCTTCAAAGACTCTTGTTGGAAGGGAACCTGCCCACTCCTTTTTTTTTCAGCCCCTGCCACTTGATGAGGCCCACAGCTGCTTTTTGTAAAGAAAAGGGTGTTTCTCAGAGGATTCTTCAGACTCTAAAGGAAACGTCTTTTGAAGTTAAATGTATGCAAAACGAGCAGCTTGCATTGATCCTGGCTCATTGTGTACTCCAATTACTCTCCATGGTGACAAAAGTAAAAAATAGGTTGAATTTATGGGATGAAAAAGTCATTCTTCATCCTTATATAACATGGCTCCAGGGCATGCAGACAGGAGACTCAGCTCCTGGTTGCAGAAAAGCAGAATTTTAAAAATTTTCTCTCCGTTCTCACAAGGGAAACCACAAAGCACACACAAAGGAGGCCAAATACGCCACCATAAATTTCTTTCTTCTCTCCTTTGGAGCCATGGGCAGCTAACCCAACCACACCCCCAACCCCCCCCTGCACCTTATAAATAGCCAGGAGGCCCTTGGGACAATTTCTGCTTGTGCTGTGCAAATTCCATATAAAAACTCGGCTACAGGATTATTTTGATTTAAGTGCCCAATGGTGGTTGCTGGGCTTTCAACGAGAATGCCTGTGCAGTGCCAGCATACCGGGAAGGGAGGGAGGGAGGGAGGGAGGGAGGAAGGAAGGAAGGAAGGAAGGAAGGAAGGAAGGAAGGAAGGAAGGGATGGTGTCAAGGAAAACTGGCGCTTGATTTGGCTCTAACTGAGCCACAAAGAAAAAAGGGATTCGGGGGGGGGGGGAGTGGCAGAGGCTGGCTGGGCCAGGGGACAGGTGTGTCATTCGCACAAGCCTTGGGAGCCCCTGATGTGCTCTGGAGGCTCCAAGCACAGCCCTCTGGCCATCCTCCCCCTCCTCCTCCACCCATTCTTCCCTTGGTTCCTGAGAGACACGAGCAGAAAGACCAAACGCTCAGAGACAGCCGTTGGCTTCCTCTCTTTCCTCCCTCTTAAGCAGTGGCCTGGGATACAGCTTGCTGGCTTCTGCCTCCCTGAGCCTGGAGAGTGCCCAGGAGGGCTTCCACGCCCACAGCCTTTCGCTCCTGGGAAACGGTAAGTTACGCTGAGCCTGTTGAAGCCCTCCAGAGCTTCAGAAAGGCTTTGCTTTTTGTGCTGCGCCTTCCGTCACCCAACATGTTCAGGCGGAATTGTGTTCCTCTTTGAGTTCAGGATCCTTTTCTCCCTGAACATCTGTTTGGAGGGAGAGAAGAAGCAAGGAGAAGGACAGCCTTCCTTCAGAGCTTTCCTCTTGGGGCTGCCCTGCCCCCTCCATCTGTCTTCTCTTGAGGCCTCAGTCTGACGGGAAGGCCTGCTCCCCTGCTGGGCTCTGGGAGGCGAGATCCCAGTCTAAAGATCCCACCGTGGAACGAATTCATAAATCAGGACGTGGCTGTTTGCTCTGCTCCTGTCCAATTGTTGTTCAGGGTGAATTTGGCCAAGGAGCATGGAATCTAACACGGAACCCCGGTTTGTCCTGGGTTGTCTTTCAGAGGACTCTCCTTCTTGGCTTCCACTGTATGGCACCATGTGCTGCCGCCTGGTTGCTCAGCCAGACTGCATGACCCAGGATGCCATGGCCGGATTTCTTAAGGAACAGGCAAGAATGCCCGATGGGCCTCCTCCAGCGCCACCTTTGGTTTGGACAGCCGCCTCTTTAAATGCCTCTTCAAACTTGAGGATGATTGGCAGTCCTTTTGCCACCTTCAGCTGTATTCTGCAGGGGTCCCCAGGACACTGATCACACCAGCTGCCCCTTGGATGCCCAGAGCAGGGTGGAAGCTCCCCCCTCCCCCCCAGCTGGACCCTGAGAGGCAGCAGACCCAAGCCCCTCTTCAGGGAGAGAGGGAGGCCCTCCTGCGTTTGCGGCTGCTCCCTGCCCTGGGGGCCTCTTCCCACTGGCAATACCCAGACCCCAGGTCCCGCTAGTTCCCCTTTTAAGGGCCTCGTGGCTCCCGAAGAAGAGCTTTCCTCAATCTTGCCTCCTTTTATAACACCTGAACTTGATTGCTACCGGTGGCACTCTGAAGGGGCCATTCCAGCAAATGCCCTGGAGGCCGTGACTCTCCTGCAGGGCACTTGGCCGTGGCACCCGGTCCTTTAAGGGAGAGGTTTTGTCTGGGTTATATTGGGTCATCTGTGGATAAGGGGGTGTTGGGGGTCCAGGCACCCTGTGAATGAAGCGCACGGGAGAGAGAAGACGAGCCCCTGCCGTTCAGATGCCGAGCAGCCTTCTGAGGGGGGCTCTGGGTGGGGGGGTGCCAAAGGCCACCGGCTGTCCGGTCCTTGAGACTCACTTTGCCCTTAACAAAACATCGTCCTCAGAGTCGCAGAGGCCATTTGTTCATTCGTTCTTCCCCCGAGAGTGAAGCGATCTTTGGGGCAAGCTGACTGATGACATTTCTTACAGCCATCGGGGGGTGTCCCGGGGGAGACCTGGAGGCGGAGATACTGCGTGCTAAGAGGGGGCCGGCTGCTCTGCTTCTCTGCCCCCGAAGAAAGAGAGGCTGTCGTGGAGCCAGCCTTGTCCGTTCCCATCAACCGGGTAAAGCCGAGCGTCACTTAACCATTTCAAGATCCAACGGTTGGGGGTCTCTTTGCACTTTATTCATCTTACAATAGTTAAATGTCTGTATGTATGAAGGGTGGCATTCCCCGGGTGGGAAATGTGGACTTAAAAGCAGGGGTAGGGAAAGTGCCCTCCCCCCCTTTTCACAAGGGACTGGGGCTGGGTGCACCTGCGCCCAAAGAGCTGCCCCAGAATTGGGCATGTGGGTGAAACTTATTTTCCGAGCTCAGAGAATTTTGTAGAAGAGTGCCTCCCCCTCCCACTTCCTCCCCCCTCCCTCCCCCAATGTCTGGCTCTGGAGCCCACTGAGGCACTCATGACCAACTGACAGTGGAGAGTTGGGGAGGGGCGTTTCCTTTGCTCCCTCGTCGCTTCGCTGCATGCTTCATTCTGCGTCCTGCTGCAGAAGCTGCAGGGGCTTTTAAATAAGGTCCTTCCTGTGCAGTTTCTTGGATGCTTCCCCTCTGCTGCATGATGCAGCGTCAGAAGGACGGGCCTGTTACTGCCAAGGCTGCATCTTCCATCCCTTGAATAATCAAATGAAGAGTAAAGTGGCTTTTATCAGGGAACAGCTTTTTGTTTCATAAAGGCACATGTGGCCCAAGACAGGGCACAGAGGCCACATGAACTCCTGTCACTGGGAGGGGGGGAGGCGCTGCAGTTCTAACCTGTTGACTTATGAAACTCCTTGACTTGATTTTGTACTGGTATCTATGGTTACCTGCATTAATAGGACCACAGGATTTATGGATGCATTACTTCATCTTCTATTTTTAGAATGAAAGACTTAAATGAGCAAATTCACCAGATAAGCTGCAAACAGCCCCCTAAATTTCAAACCTCCAGTAAAGTCTCTTTAAAAATCTGTGAAAATATTCTGCAGGTTTTGAGGGGTGGTCAATCCTCGGGGCACTTCTTTTTTTTTTCCACCAGGACAATAGATATTAAAATAAAGCTGCACATTTAATGGTTGCTGGGGAGGATGGACACGCAGGAGAAGAGTGGAAAGTGTGGGGCGGTGGTGTTTGCGTGTTTCACTTGGAACCAGGTGAAAGGAGACCACAAAATGTTCGTGGCAACCTTACGGTTCTGTGTAACATTCAGGGAACTCAAATCCGTCCCGTGGACAAAGAGGCGGGGGGCGAGGCCAACCTTTTCTCCGTGATCAACCCTGAGCCTGGCGAGGCCGCAGCTCGGCTGTTCCAAGCAGAGAGCCGGCAGGACCTTCGCAAGTGGATGGAAGCTTTCCGGCAGCACTTTTTTGATTTCAGTAAGTGGCCCGTCTTCCTTTTTCCTTGTTGGAGGAAAGTGCAAACACCCTGGCTGCCCTTGCACAACAGCCCCAACTTTTGCAAAAGGCCCATTCCCCCCCCCCCCCCCCCGTTGCAACCCCAGCAGAATCTCTCAGAACTGGCGCAATCTGACTTTGCATTGCTGCCCATGCAGGCCCTCTCAGAGGGAGGCCCCCAAAGTCCGAGTAGCACAAGCAACAGCCCTTAAGGCTTCTATACCGCTTCACGTTGCTTTTCAGCCCCTCTCTGAGCGGTTTACAGAGTCAGCCTCTTGCCCCCCCCCCAACCATCTGGGTCCTCGTTTTGCTGACCTCAGAAGGAAGGACGGAAGGCTGAGTCCACCTTGAGCCGGTCAGGATCGAACTGCTGGCAGTGAGCAGAGTCAGCTGGCAACGCTGCACTCTAACCGCCGCCCCACCAGAGACCATTAAAAAATCTGGAGGGATCAGGGCTTCTCCCGGGCCTTCCCAATAAATGGTTATGTCAGACCGATAAGTGAAGTGTAAAGTTGTGATGATAAAGATTGGGATTGGGCCATGCACTGCAATTGCCCCTATCCTGTCTGGGAAATATGAAGTACCGGTTAGCTCGGCTGTGGTTGATTCAGAGACTTTATGGCTACCTAAGAGATGATCACAACAGGGAGGTTAGGCTTACCCACCAATAGGGAGCAATTATTTAAAAAGCGACACACGTTTTTGTGGGGAAAATGCCTCTGAACCTGATTGTGTTGCTGCATTTGATGCTAGCACTTAAAAATGGAGAACCTGAATGTGTCCCATTCCCTGATTTCCATCCAGGTCAGTGGAAGCACTGTTGTGAGGAGTTTATGAGGATGGAGACCGGGTCCCCTCAGAAGCCACCGCTGTTCTTGGCCAAAGAAGCCACTTCGGTTTACCAAGAGCTGAGTAAGTCAGAGCCAGCGAGCGACCGCAGGGCCTCCAGAGCAAGGCCAGCTCAGCCTCCCCCCCCCCATCCAGCTGGGCTCTGCAGGGGCTGCAGGACAAGCAAGTGGGCCTCTTTCCCTTTGGGGCGCTCTGGGGAGACGAGCAACTGGGAGCCCATGAGCTAAAGAGATCTTTGGGGCTGGCTGACTCCCCGTTTTGGACAAGCCGGGTGCTTTTATTTTTTCTGGATGTCTGATTTTTCTTTAATTGCTGCCTGTGGTCAACACATGATTCAGAACTGTCCGGCCATAATATTTTAGGATTGAAAGGGGCTTGGAGATATCTAGTCCAGGGGTCCCCAACCCCCAGTCTGTGGACCGGTTAGGGTTAGGGTTAGGGCATGCCAGCAACCAGTCCGCACAAACAAGCAAAGCCCCATCCGTGGGATGCAGGCAGCACACAAAACCACGCACTCTCCGGTCCGTGGAAAAACCTCTGTCCACGGAACCGGTCCCTGGTGCCCAAAAGGTTGGGACCTCTGCTCTAGTCTACCCCAATATTTTCAGGAGAAGCCAAGAACCAAAATGCATAGCAATATATTGTCAAGTACTTCTGCAAATGTCCCTCTTCAAACTCAACTGTCTAGAATTATTTTTGCAGATATTTCTTTCAGATTAATAAGAATTTGGAAGAGCGATGGTTCTGGCACAGGAATGTTGCCTGGCATCTCAGTTCAGCTATTTTTTTTCTCAAGTAATTTCTGCTGCTCCTGGGCCATTTTTTAAGCTTTCCTTGGCAAACAAAGGAAGGGTCATTCCTGGGGGATGACGGAGTCATCCGTGGGGCCGGTGCTGCAGCCCTGCTCCACTTTGGTGACCCTTTTGTGTTGTCTTTAATGTGACAGGCATTGATTCACCAGTGAAGCCTGACCCTGTAGCTGCCACGGCTCAGGGGGAGGAGGAGGAAAGCAGGCTGGCCTCGTTCGCTGGCGTGTCCCATGGCTCTTCTCTGAAGTGGAGTGGGAGCAGCCCCCAAGGAAGCCCGGACTCCCAGGGGATAAGCGAAGGAAGGGAGCCCCCTTCCAGGCCCTGATCTGGCTCCCTGCAGCACTGCGCCCAGAGGGAGGCCTCCAAACCGCAGCCTCCTGCACGCTGGCACGGCTCCCGTGGGCCCCCACACCGCCTCCTGCTGCTCCTCGCTCTCGCAGACCCGCCTGGGCAGCCCGATCTGCCAGCCTAGGGGTGTCCGGCTGATGTTCAGTTATGTTTTCATCTGGGGGGGAGAGAAATGGGGTGGGGGGGAGCTTCCTTTGTCCCCTGAAAACTGAAGAGGAGTCAACTTCCCCACGGTATTTCTTGTTTCTGTCCTGGTCCCTGTTCTTTCTCTCTCTCTCTCCCTCTCTCTCTCTGTCTCTCTCTCTCTCTCTGTTTTTTTTTTTTTAGTGAAGATACAACTCGGTTACATTCTTCAGCCCGGGGAATACCCCAAGGGCTCAAGTGGTTTTCTAATGTCCCTCTGAATAATTTCCACAGCCAGTAGCAGAAAATTGGATGGGTTTATATTAGGAAAAGTGGATGCTGCATTGTAAACAGAATCAAAACAGATACTTTATATTTAAATAACATCAGAACTTTTATTCTGCTGAGTGGAACTGGTACAACGTAAAGGTACTTCTCTCAAATATTTTCTCTTTGAGGTCCCTGTTTCCCACAAGTTTGACTTTATCAAAGAAAGACTCCTATGTTGGTTACGGACGGCACATCTGCAGGGCAAAGGAAAACAAGGAATTTAGCTGTTGGCACAGTAGTTCACGGCTGTTCATCAAGTTGTGTTTTCTCTATGTATTTATTTTGCTTGGTAGTGTGTGAGATCCATTATGTACTGTGGAGGTTTGCGTTTATCTGTTTTTCAAGCAGTTTTTAAAAAAAAAAGAATAAAGGAAATGTAGCAAAGTGATAAAGGAAGTGTCCTCTTAGATTAACACTGTCTGGTCCCAAAATGAGATAGCAGAATCCCTTTTAAACTTCAAAGCCTTCCATTAACAATCTATTATTGTATTTGACCCATAGAAAGTCCACAATGGCGTCTAATCTCCCATAAACCACCACCATCATTATCTCTGGTCCGTCCAAAAGTTCCCCAACAATTGCATCTCATTCCCCAAATCATGTCACGCTGCCATGACTTTTGATCATAATTCTGGGCCCAGTTAAAATCCCCGTCTTCCTTATTTTTATAAATTAAGGCAGTGAACATACCTAGTCCTTCTCCAATTTTCCTTATAACAACCACCCTGTGAGAGAGAGTGACTGACCCAAAGTTATCCAGCCGACTTTCATATCTCAGGTGGGACTAGAACTCACCGTCTCTGGCACTCTGGTGCTTTCACCACTAGACCAAACTGCCTCTGTTAGTTGTTAATGCTTGATAAGTCAGCCAGCCTCCACTCTAGGTAGTTTACTCTCCAAAGGAATGCCTACCGTAGTAGGAAAGGCAGAGCGTGTAAGACCACTAAGAACACCACGCAAGAAGATTCCAGCCTGCTCCCCTTGGGAGACGCCCCTGGCCTTTGAGTGGCACGTTTAAAGTTGCCAATTTCTGCCTCAACCTCCAAGCCAGGGGTGGGCAACTAGGGTCCCTTTATGACATGTGGACTTCAACTCCCAGCCGTAGCTGCCCACCCCTGCTCTAGGTGCTAAGTGTATACTTTGGCCCAGTCACCTGTTAATTGTGGGGCTTTGCTACCGTACAATTCCCCAGTTCTTTACAAAGCAGTTTGAAGCCCAGCTGTTCCTATTCTTTCAGCCCTGAAACATTGAGAATAGACAGCAGGGAGCAACAATCGGTGCAGCAATATGAGCAAAAGAATAAAATATTGTCCTGGCGCAATAAAAATCTCACAATTGTCTTCCTACCTCCTCAGCCATCCATTTTTTCAGTTCATATCATATGCCCTTGGGTGTTTTCCAAAAATATTTCAGTGGTTGTTATGGGGTGTGTGGGCTGCAAAGTCACCGTTATTCCATTGCCCTTAAGTTTGCACCGGATGCTTTCATAGGTTTCTACACAAATACATTTGCCCACAAAAATTGCATGGGTCCAGTGCCTCAGACTGCAACTGAGAGCGTTGCAAATCCTCAGTCCTGATTTTTGTTATTGCAAAAAAGCAGCCGTAGAGATTTGTTCTTCCAGTGGACTAGACTAGACTTCTGGGGTTTCTTTGTGCAATTCCTCAAAGATCAGCAATATTCCTGGCTGAAGCCTGATGGCTGCTGTAGGAAGCAGTTTGTGGATGTCTTGAAGGCGTTTCACACTAGGACGATGTAGTTACAGCCAAGAGCCACTAGGTGTCCTCTGCTCCGCTAGGAATCCGACCAGTTCCGAAGTTGCAAAACCGAAGAATTCAGCTTCAGTTCAGCTGAATTCAGTCCTTCTTCGCCCAAGGAAGTTGTGCAAAGCCCAAAAGGAGACAGAAATCAGAATTCTATAGCACTTTTTCCTGAGAGAAGGAGATGAAGAGAACAGAGTGCATTAGCTGCATTTAATCTATCCCTTGATTTCAGTTCAGGTTTCCTCCCGTGTGCTCGGCATCAGAACTGAAATTATAATTGCTTTGTATTCTTAGTTAACATATTTAACTAAAGGGATCTAAATTATAACAGAAAGGTGATCCCATCATTGTGGTTTCTAAATATGCTGGGCCCACAATTGGAAGAAGAGCACCAGGTTGAGAAGGCTGACTTGCATGGAGAGAGCTATATAATAATAATAATAATAATAATAATAATAACAACAACAACAACAACAACAACAACAACAACTTTGGAAGGGACCTTGGAGGTCATCTAGTCCAACCCCCTACTCAGACAGGAAACTCTATACCATTTCGGACAAATGGCTGTCCGGTCTCTTCTTAAAAACTTCCAGTGTTGGAGCATTCACCGCTCCTGGAGGCAGGTTGTTCCTCTGGTTAATTGTTCTAATTGTCAGGAAGTTTCTCCTTAGTTCCAGGTTGCTTCTCTCCTTGATTAGTTTACAGAGTATCTTTGAGAATCAGATCTGGCAACTTGACATGGCCAGATAAAGTTTTGGAGAAAAGCCTTCCCATATGGAGACAGAAATAGTTGGAGAGGACAGAAAATAGATAAGAAGAGGAATAGCTACCTTATTTTCCTATCCACTGAACATATCTAACTAGGTAGCTAACTTTTTTCCTATCCTGAAAAAAGACATTATTTTCAGTTGAGGAACACATTGGGTAGTTCTTAGACAGTCAGTACCTGGTTGATAAATGATTTTGCAATAAAAATGAAACACTATGTGATTCAAAATGTGTGTGTGTGTGTGTGTGTGTGTGTGTGTGTGTGTAGCAGTCTATGAATGGGACTCTGATTTAGATTCAGATACCCCTTGGCCAGCATGAGAGGAAAAGGCTCAGCAATTAACTTATATCAGACTCGCCTATCTTAGCTTGCCAGGAGAATGAACTCTAATAATAAAGTTCATTAACATTGCCCTGAGCCTGTTGGAGGAAGCAGAGGGCATTTGAATGAAATTAGCATCGATATTAATCAGAAACAAATTGTCCTCAGTCGGGAGCCTTGCAGTGGATGGGATCATGTTGCAAATTTATCAAGTGATTAAACTTCGCATAACTGAGGGCAGCTACGGGCCATTTAAATTTATGCATGGGAAAATCTTTGCAAGTACTGCAGTCTTCCAAATAAACGAATAAATCCTTGAAAAAGGAAGAAAGTATTTGGTGCTTCTAGCTTCTCCCTCCCCAGAGCAACAGTTTCGGATATTAGCTCCGCTCTAATTCAGTTGCTTTTGCGGTTCAATTCCTGTCCTGTGCACCGGCTTCTCTCTGCTGCTCCCACGAGCCTTTTCTCTCCTGGGCCCTGGAGAAAGCAGCCTTCGCCTGGGAAATGCCAGCTCTAATAAGCCTGACAAAGGGAGGAGAAACAGGGAAGGAAAAATGAGAGGCAGACTCCTCATTAACTCTGAATGGATCTTACTGGAAACGGCTCATGTGGTCACAATCACGAGTTTTGCTGCAGCTGGGTTCTTCCCAGGACACTTTCACATCTGCCGCACCACTGTAATTAAATTCTAAGAAAACATCATTTCTGTATTACAGAGTATCATTTTTTTCTAATCCCCCCCCCCCACCTGGGATGAAGTTCCAACTTTTGGTAAGTGTTCTGACCCCGTCTGCTTCCTAGAAAGGCCCTTAATTCACGTCACGCCGTTCATTCTAGGATCTGTCGGTGAGTCAAAGAAATTCTTGATGTAGAATTTAATCATCGTAGCTTAAGTGCCGGTCCGTCCCCGACTTAACCCAGGCTCTCTGTGTATTCCTGTAAACACTTCGAGTGAGGTCCGAAAGGCATCCGGCATCCAGAGGAAAAGGCAGGCCTGGCTCCAGCGAGGACCCTCAGAAGAAGCTGAACTACAACACCCATCCTCTGCAGCCTGCATGATGGGCGCTTGGGGGAGATGCCTGCTTGGGAAAGGCCGTTGCCTGTGAGCCTGGTCTGGATGTCTCTCTCAGAGGTGCTGCCCTGCTTTAGTAAGGCTGGACAGTCTGCCAAGGCAGAAGGAAAACAGGCTGCCGAAACAGGCCTGAACAATTCTGGCAGGGCACAGTGACCAGGGAGAAGAAATTGAGACAGGAACAAAAGCGGTCCGAGCAGGAGGAAGAAAGGGAGATATTGCCTTCACAGCAGCCAAGATCAGGGATGTCATGGTAATAAAAAGCGGATCAAGAGGGCCACGTCTGAAAGTGTGGTGAAAATGGATGGAAGGCACTTTTGTTTCTCTTTCTTCTCCAAGTCACCTCCCCACTTGCCTGTAACCGCAGCGCCGTCGTTCCCTGGCAGTCTTTCCTTCTCTCCAATGAGATTGGCTTTGTCCTACGAATGGGACAGTCCTAAGGGCCCCTTAGCTACACAAAGATGGGCTTTCCCCTTCAATCCAGCTCTGTCTGAGGTGTGTAATATTTGTTACTCCCTGTATAAGGTTGGAGGGAAGTCAGGTGACTGCAGTTATTAGGAATGGGTGCAATAAAGGAAGGATAAAGACTGATATTGAGAACAGCAAATTTCACGCGTTGTAATTTTTTTGCTGACTCTGGGATGCCTGGATAATATAGCAGTGAGGAAGACCTATTGTTAACATCTGTCTTTCACAAAAGAGCCAGAACTTACTACTGGTCCTTGAAAGGTAATACACTGGTATAAAACAGGGTTGTGTGCTAGTCCTGTTCCGTCTGTTCTTTGCTTGCGTGTTCTCACATGCTGTCCAGGCTCTGGGCGTAGGCATCAGGTCCCGCTTGGAGGGCTTTCTCTGACCTTTGGCACTTGAACACACAAGGTGCCTCCACACAGCCGCTCAAGAAACCTTCTTTGTGCTCCTGGTACAAGACTGAACTCCTTCATTGGCCGTAGCCAAATGCCAAGCTTGCAGAGCCAAAAATAACTATTGACAACACCCAGCTGACAAATGTAAGCAGCTTCCAATACTTGGGAAGCATGTCTTTAGCGATGGGTCTCTGGACAAAGAAATTGACTCCGAGGTCAGTAAGGCCAGCCAGATGCTGAGTGGGGCAGTTGAGTACTAGAGGGTTCAATCAATACAACATCTGTAGCTTCACAAAGCTAAAAGCCTACAGTGCTGTGGTCATCCCTTCCCTCCTAATTTGGATGTGAGTTTTGGACTCTGAACTGAAAGTGCATCAAACAGTTGGAGAAGTATCACATGTGTGATCTCCACTCCATCCTTTGGCCAGATCATATCTCCAACCTGGACATCTTGGATGATGTAGAGTCCACCAGCATTAATCTGATTATCAGAGCCTGGATGAGATGCTGGGATTCCGCATTGGAGTGGATGGTCTCCATGTGCCTGAAGTGGAGTCACTAAGAGGGGAGACCCTGAGATCAACCACACGAACACCACAAAG